TCCCAGTCAATCCCAAATCTCTTTCATTTCTCTCACATTATATCCCTCTAAGTTCAATTTTTGAGTAGGAAATAAATGAAAAAAGCCCATACATGCCAACAAAGTATAGCTAATGGGGAAATTATCTTACACTTCCTCTTAGATTACTATAATTTTACAAGGAATTTGGGAATAATAACGTATTAGTAAGGAATTGCTGTGTTTGCTCACTCCTCATTATTTTCTTCAGTAGTCTCTGAGGAAAAGGACTGACTATGCCAAAGCAGATTTTTAAATAGTCTTGGATGTCTCAGCAAAATCCATCACAATACTATCTGCATTTCTCCCCAATCTATCATAATGGTATCCAAGTTTCCAAAAAAGTGATCTAACGGATTCATCACTATAATGTTGCATCGAAGAGAGTCAAACATGCATAAGCAGCAATCACATTCTGACTAGTATCTGTAATCCATGGATAAGAAATACTCCTTTTGTTGCTATCATCAATTTCTTCCTATTCTGATACAGTTCCTTTTTATCAATTTCTTCCTCATGAATCCTGACTTTTGCTTTTATATGTGATTTTCTACTTATTCTTGCTCCATAAATTTGGATATTTATTTGGACATCCAGTTTTGCATTATAGCTTTTCCAAAGTCATGAGAAATTTTATAACATTTATTTGTTTGTTTATTATTTTTGAGGTAGAATTACAGAGAGAGATCTTGCCTCTACTGTTTCACTCCCAAAATGGCCAGGGTTATGCCAGTCCCGAGCCAGGAGCCTGGGATTCTATGCAGGTCTCCCAAATGGTGGGCAGGGCCTAAGTACTTGGGCCATCATCAGCTGTTTTCCGAGCCACATTAGCAGGGAGCTTAATTGGAAGTAGCACAGCCAGGAGGTGAATTGGTGCTCACTATAGGTGGTAGCTTAACCCACTACACCACAACACTGGCCCCAATTTTAAGGCCTTTAAATCAACAATATTTTATCCAAAACAAGGAACAGATTCAGACATTGATTAGTTCATTTACTGAATTGCTGAACTTTAAATTCTATTAGCAAATCCATCTATTGCCTTGCTTACATTATTTTTTTTAGAAATGAACTCTCAGTATTAAATGCTAATGTTTACTCACTCCCAGTGTTTTCCCTACTTCTTAACCCTTATAACTACCCCATGGGATCTACATTTTTTAGGTGCTCTCTGATATCAGTTTCTCTGAATAAGTTTTCTTTTATCATTCGTCTTCTTGACAGGCAGAGTGGACAGTGAGAGAGAGAGAGAGACAGAGAGAAAGGTCTTCCTTTGCCGTTGGTTCACCCTCCAATGGCCGCTGCGGCCAGCACGCTGCACCATGGGGTGCAGGGCCCAAGCACCTGGGCCATCCTCCACTGCACTCCCTGGCCACAGCAGAGAGCTGGCCTGGAAGAGGGGCAACCGGGACAGAATCCGGCGCCCCGACCGGGACTAGAACCCGGTGTGCCGGCGCCGCAAGGCGGAGGATCAGCCTAGTGAGCCGCGGCGCCGGCCCTCTGATTAGTTTTTAAGAAATTCAACTTTAAGGCACAAAAACTATGTAAGTGAATGATAAAAATATTACAAAAAGTATATTAATCCAGTGAACTGAAGAGGAGACTATAAATTACCCAAAAGGAGACTAAAGGACATTTTACAGACCAGAAAGAGTAGTTAATGAAAACTGAATCTTAAAATTAAAATCAAATTATTTTAAGCAATTGAGCTGATGACAACTTATATAATGCTGTATGAATGGTAGCTGTAAAAAATAAGAAAGCATAGGACAATGAATGTATTTTCACACAATGAAAGAATAGTTCTTAAAATTACATTAATGGTGAGGCCAGCGCTGTGGCATAGCAGGTTAAAGCCACGGCCTGAAGTATCGGCATCCCATATGTGTGCTGGTTCGAGTCCCAGCTGCTCCACTTCCAATCCAACTCTCTGATACGGCCTGAGAAAGCAGTAGAAGATGGCATCAGTCTTTGTGGCCCTCCACGCACATGGGAGACCTGGAATAAGCTCCTAGTTCCCGATTTCTTAGCGGCTCCGCTCCAGTCATTGCAGCCATTTGGGGAGTGAACCAGTGGATGGAATACCTCTCTCTCTCTCTCTCTCTGTCTGTCTTTACCTCTGTCTGTAACTGTCATTCAAATAAATAAAAATAAATTTTTTAAAAAAGTACATTAATGGTGATGTGGTTGGTAGAATTATTACTTGTGTGAGATAATTGAGAAAATACCTTATAATAAATATATTTTAACGTTCAAAATCCTGCCATGTCCCTCACAATGTTTTATTCTATGTAACTTCACAGACATTAACTAAAGAATATTTATTTCTGTCATGTATATATAATAGTCATATGCCATAACACAACTCATATGCATATTCATATCCATATGTATTTATTTACCTTGACTATCAGCACATCCAAATTCAATATCAAAATACAACAATTTGGATATAAATATACAATCTTCACCGAAAGTCTCCTCTGTATAAAGCATAAAGCAAGGCAGATGGGCCCAAGATCTCAGCCTAGTGAATTAAGATGCTGTTTCAGGGGCTGGCCTGTGGCTTAGCTGGTGAGGCTGCCACCTGCATCCCAGCATTCCATGTGGGCAACAGTTCAAGTGCTGGCTGCTCCACCTTTGATCCAGCTCTCTGCCATGGCGTGGGAAAAAATAGAAGATGGATTAAGTCCTTGGGCCCCTGCACCCACGTTGGAGATCCAGCAGATGCTGCTGGCTCTTGGCTTCAAATGGGTACTGCTCTGGCCACTTTGGCCCACTGGGGAGTGAACCAATGGATGGACAATCTCTCTCTCTCTCTCTCTCTCTCTCTCTCTCTTTCTCTCTCTCTGCCTCTTCTTCTCTTCTCTGTGTAACTCTGACTTTCAAATAAATAAATAAATCTTAAAAAAAAAAAAAGATACTGTTTGGGAGTTCCACATCCCATATCAGAATGCCTGGGTTCAATCCTGGCAGTGTTCCAGCTTCCTGCAAATGTGCATACACTCTGAGAAGCAGCTATGAAAACTCAAGCAGCTGGGTCACTGCTAAACATGAGGGAGATTGAATTGAATTCCTAAATCCTAGCTTTGACCTGGCCCAATCTCAGTTGTTTGGAGGTATTTGGAGAATAAACCAGGACATGGGATATATGTGTATGTGTGTGTGAGTGTGTGTGTGTATGTGTGTGTTATTGTCTATCTCTCAAATAAATGAAAATAAAGGAATAAAAAATTTTAAACAGCCGTTAGTATGCTTTGAAATCAATGAGCTCATACACTACACAGAAGGTTAAGAGACATTTCACATGAACTTTATAGTTTTTTAGAGCACACAGTTATCTGGAGCAAATTAATACAGTTGGCACAGAGTGTTGATGATGAAAAAGTTTTAAGTAGGATATATTTGCTTTTTGAATCTGCTTTTATTCAACAAATAACTTTTGTGAGATTTAAAGAATTGAAGATGTTCCTCTGCTTTGTCTAGAACACAAGTATGGCCCTCATTTACACTGAAATCAGACTAATGACAGTCTCGACTTTTTGCACTTCCTTCTTATCATATAAATGTAATGGAAACATTTGTAGTCCAGGTACTCAGGAACAGGTACACATAGATAAGAATTTATCACAAACATAGTGTTTAGGAATTATAACAAGTTTACTCTATTTAATTCTACAACAATGCTGAATCTCCATATCTCCCATTACCTAATATCCAAATCTACACAAAATTCTAATGTCAGAAAAATTACAAAGTCTAGAGCCAGACGATCTAGAGGAAATTCCTAGATATGTTACTTAACTGCATGACTTTTGATAAGTAAATTAACTTTTCTGTGGCTTAGGTCCTTAATAATAAAAAATACATAAAAATACCTGTCGATGGGATAGTATGGATTTATATACCACATGCAAAATATCTAACACAATGCCTGGTACACAGTAGACACTCAATACATGTTAGTAAATTTCTTTGTATTTTCATTGTGTCCTCAAGACAGTTTGTGATTTAATATGAAACATTAAATTAATGCTATGCTATAAATAGAAATGTCAATCTCTAAAAATCTTTGTTTTCAACCACTGAAGAGTAGTTTATATAATTAAAACACATAAAAATAAATAAAATGAAGTAACATATGCAAAACATGTATTATAAAATAGTTGTGGTGAGAATTATTAATGTACCACAAAAGTAATTATGTACTACAATTTTATCCTACGTTTCTCACAGCAAGAGATTCTAAGGTAGACTATTTTTTTTTTTATCAGGAAAAAAAAAAACTTTTATTGTCCCCTTTAAGGTGACTATTATATGTATGTAATGAGAGCTGTAAGAAATTAAAATGTTGGGGAGTAAATTATTTTCTTTTTTTTTTGAATTTCCTTTTTTTTAACTTTTATTTAATGAATATAAATTTCCGAAGAACAGAATATTGATTACAATGGCTTCCCCCCCATAACGTCCCTCCAACCCACAACCCTCCCCTTATCCACTCCCTCTCCCCTTCCATTCATTTTCGATTCTCTTTATATACAGAAGATCAGTTTAGCATACATTAAGTAAAGATTTCAACAGTTTGCTCCCACACAGAAACATAAAGTGAAAAATACTGTTTGAGTACTAGTTATAGCATTAGATCTCAATGTACAGCACACTAAGGACAAAGATCCTACCATGGCCTTGTCTAAAAATGATCAGAGTCAGTGAACTCAGGGGGCTTCCATAGCCTTGGCAACTCATGACAAGAGCCTAGGGTGATTACTGATGCCATAAACAAGAGTGTCAATTTGTTAAGTCAACAACAGGAGTCACTGTGCACTTACTCCTCATGTAGGATCTAAGGTAGACTATTAACAATGTACTAGAAGATATTTATGAGAAATGAAAAATATCTTGAAAATTCTATGTAAAATTATAACTCTAGTATTTTTAAGTAAAAATATTTCAAAGAGAATTAATTCACCAATTATACTTACATATTTCCAATGAGCAAGGTTTGCTTTTATATTAGTTTCAGGCTGGTAAACAACATCTCTAATGAGTTTATCTTCATGTGTTTCAGTTACATAAATCCATTTTGCTTCATATTCTCTAATAATTTTTGGATGATGTCTTCTATGCAAAAACAAGGGGCTAAATATAAGGGGGAAACATTCATTACCTGTTTTAGCCCAAAAATTCTAAAAATTAACAAATTATATGAATTCATTTCCACATGAAAAATGGCAGTAAATTTAATATAATTTTTTAATTTTATTACTGCATAATACTATTTAGGGACAAAAATTTCTTCATCAACATTGATCAAGATGAATGAGTACTGAGAAATTTTCACAGCTATGAATCCAAAACCAATTCTGCACTTACAGATCAGTGTGCATTTTAAAATGCAATTGCAGGGGAAACATGACCAAATTATTAATAGAAATACAAGACAATCAGTGTAAACTCTTGTATTCTTTTCACTTCAGTGAAGAAGCAACATTTTAATGTGGTAATAGTAATTATTATATCACAAAAATTATATTTTGACTACATTACCAACACTAGAAAAAATACTCTAGAGAATTACAAAATACAATAAGCCATAAAACAAACTTAAAATTAATATTAGCCACAGTAAATAAGGCAATGGAACACAAGTGAGATGAATTTTTAATACTTTGCCTTGTTTATTCAGTATGAGTATATCCAAAATATTATCTAATGAATGCTACCTATGAATTAAATCAGAATTAATGGTAAAAATACTAAATATTTCCAATCTAATAGGGGAAAAGTTATTAAATAAGTGAATAGACCCATAAATAATTGTAGGACACAGTTAATTCTACCAACATGAGAAGTGGGAATATTGGAGGATCAAAAACGGAAAAGCTAAGAAAAATGCTGGAAGAAATAATGACTAAAAAATTCTGAAACCTGGTATAAATACATTGATCTACACAATAATGAAGCCCAATGAACTATAAATAGAATAAACAAAAAGGTCTTCATCTAGACACAACATAGTATAACAACTGAAATCTAAGGACAATTAAAAAATACTGGAAAATAGTAAGAAAAAAATGACTAGACACATATATGGGAATCTCCATGAAATATCTTAGTGATTTCTCAGTTTAAAAAATGGGAATCAAAGGCAGAACTATGATTTAGTAAAACTGCTAGAAGAAAAACTCAAAGATACACACATACACACACATACACAGGGAGAGAGAAAGAGAGTGAGAAAAAGAGTAAGAGAGAGAGAGAGAGAATTCAATGGAGAAAGAGCTGTCATTCAATGGTTCTCTCCCCACAGCCTACAACACCTAAGGCTAACCTGGGACCAATATCGGGAGCCAGAAGCCGGGAGCCAGAAGCCAGAAGCCAGGAATGCAATCCAGGTCTCCCACATGGGTGGCAGGAGTTCAATTACTTGAGCCATCATGGCAACCTTCCAGGGTCTGCATTGGCAGGAATCTGGAGTAAGGAGCAAGAGCCAGGAATTGAACGCAGTCCCTCTTATGTGGGATGCAGGCAACCTAACTTATAAATACCCATGCCCTCAAGCAAGTTCTTAAATCCAGCAAAGTATCCTTTATAATTGAAGGTGAATGATTAGATTTCTAAGATCAATAAAAACTGACAGAATCTACTTCCAGTAAATATGCCTTATGAAAGGAAGTTCTCTTAAAGATGAAGGCAAGTGATTTTTGAGAGTAATTCGATATTAAAAATGTTACATTTTAATTATTTTTATTCCAGAACTATTTATGTGATTGTTTCTTAATTAACAAGGAAATTTTGGCATCTTTCAGGATTCATTTCAAATTTAACTGAAGAGAATCTGAACTTCAAAAATCGCTTTCTGAAAATATAGGAATTCTGTAAAGGCTGAGGGAGGATGCAAACAGCAAGCAACAGTTTTAAGACTAGAAATTGACTAAAGGCATATATCAAAAGGAAAATTATTTATTGAAGAATAGAATTAAATGTCAGAACTGAGAAATCAGAGCATGTAAGCCTGGGATTGCTCTTATTAGCAGCAGGCCACCCCACCCCCAGCAACCTACTTGGAACAAAAAGTCATACTATGGCATAGAAGACTAGAAGGACAGGCAGTTTCATGGCTAGAGGAGGATAGCTTTTATTTGGAGCTGAGAATAGGATATTGTTAGAAATAGCTCAATAGTGGGCCGGCGCCACGGCTCACTAGGCTAATCCTCTGCCTTGCGGCGCCGGCACTCCGGGTTCTAGTCCCGGTCGGGGCGCCGGATTCTGTCCCGGTTGCCCCTCTTCCAGGCCAGCTCTCTGCTGTGGCCAGGGAGTGCAGTGGAGGATGGCCCAAGTGCTTGGGCCCTGCACCCCATGGGAGACCAGGAGAAGTACCTGGCTCCTGCCTTCGGATCAGTGCGGTGCACCAGCTGCAGCGCACCAGTCGTGGCGGCCATTGGAGGGTGAACCAACGGCAAAGGAAGACCTTTCTCTCTGTCTCTCTCTCTCACTATCCACTCTGCCTGTCAAAAAAAAAAAAAAAAGAAAAAAAAGAAATGCTCAGGAGAGATGTGAGCGCTTCCTGGAAAGCTATTCACATGGGCTAAACGTGAATCCTTGTGAGAATAGATATTAAAACATGGGTCAGACCTGCAAACTTCTTGAACTATGAATTTATTCTCCAAGTATATAGATTCATCACCAAATGATAGAAACTTGAGTGATATAAAGGTTTTAGACATACCATCTGATCAAATGTTATATATCCAAGCTGTGGGATGTTAAAAGTTAATAAACGGATTAATATTAATGGTTAATAGATTAAGGATCAAGAAAATTCAATTGTGGGTCTAAGGTGGGTCTATGGGGATGATTAGACTGCATTAAATGACTGGGAAGGAACAACATGATCAAATCACAAAATTTGTATGAGCTGAGGTCACTTAGAAGGTAGATTTTGTAGCTTTCCATGTGACCATTCTTCCATACTTGCCCCACTACTGCCAGACTCCAAGATGGCAGACTGATGAAGCTATTTGATCTTGGACTGTGAACCTTCAAAACTGAACCTGCGATAAACTTCTTCCTCCTTAAGTATCTTTTCTCAGGTATGTGTTATGTTGTAATCTAACACCTAACCAATGACCTAATGGAAACATAAAGAATATCCTAGGGACCAGGGCTGTGGGGTGGTGGGTTAACGCCCTGGCCTGAGGTGCTGGCATCCCATATGGGCGCTGGTTTGAGACCCGGCTGCTCCACTTCTGATCCAGCTCTCTGCTAATGACCTGGGAAAGCAGTAGAAGATGGTCCAAGTCCTAGGGCCCCTGCACCCACGTGGGAGACTCGGAAGAAGCTCCTGGCTCCTGGCTTCAGATTGGCGCAGTTCTCGAAGTTGCTGCTGATTGGGGAGTGAACCATCAGATGGAAGACCTCTCTCTCTCTCTCTCTCTCTCTGTAACCCTGACTTTCAAATAAATAAAAAAATCTTTAAAAAGAATATTCTAGCCAATAACCACAGAGCCTATTTTTTCAAGCACATGTGAAGAAAATGACTCATAAGGCAAAACCTAATAAAATTCAAAGACAAAATACTGAAATCATACACAGCATCCTCCTTTACTCACTGGCTGTATCAGCTTTTCTCACAGGCTATAGTTTGCCAACCACTGATCTAATTATATGTATATGTATACGTACACATGCACATAAGCTCACACACACACACAAACACACACACTGACAAGAGGAAGACTTCAAAAAGATCATGGAAAATGGAATCAAAATATCATGAGAGGGGTAGTGCTGAGGCATAGCAGGTTAAGCTCTACCTGTGGTGCTGGCATCCCATGTGGGTGCTGTTTCAAATCCCAGCTGCTCTACTTCCTATCCAGCTCCTTACTAACAGAACTGGGAAAGCAGCAGAAAATGGCTCAAGGACTTAGGTCCCTGCACTCACATGGGAGACCCAGATAAATCTCCTGGCTCGTGGCTCCTGGCTCCTGGCTCCAGCCTGGCCCAGTCCCAGTCAATGCAGCTATTTGGCGATTGAAGCAGCAAATGGAAGATCTCTGTGTCTCTCCCTCTCTCTCTGTAACTCTCCCTTCAAATAAATAAATAAATGTCTTCAAAAATATATATATCATGTGAATTTCCCAAGAAGATTTTGAAGCACCCTCTCCCCTATGTGATATATGTGTGTGTATATAACAAATTTAATAGCAATTACATTAAAAATTAGAAATGTTTTAGCTACGGTATTCTTTTATATCCTGTACCAGTCTTGTTTATTACGATAATATGGTTTAGGTACACAAAAACAAACTTCATATACATTTAATACATCTTGGAATCCTGCCATTTTGGCTGCCTTACTAATACATCATTATCACTAATGTATGGATGACTTAAAGGAACAGAAATTTTTAAGCAAGTGTTGCACCCTGAACACTTTTTTTCTTTGACGGAGTCTTGGCTTTGCTTTGCCTCTCATTGCTGCTCATTTCCCAAGCCTATTTATGATAGCTTCCTAAATTTGTTGTGCTCTTCATGGATAAACTTCCAAAAATTATATCATTGCCCAAGCATTTAGAGTTACTTCTGCTATTTGCAAGTAACAAAACATTTGTCTTATTCCCTCCGGTGTTGCAACAACAGAATAGCACAAATTGCATGATTTATAAAGAACAGAGATTAATTTCTGGCAGTTCTAGAAGCAGACAAGTCCAAGATCAAGGGACCACATTGGGTGAGGGCACTCTTGCTGCATTATAACATGGCAGAAGGCAACACATTTTTATATATTCTTTGATAAACAATGAAATATTCTAGAATACTACTCAATCATAAAAAAGAATAAAATCCTATCTCTTCCAAGAAACCATAATGGAAACCATAATGCTTAGAGAAATAATCCAATCCCCAAAAGACAAGTACCATATATTTTCTCTACATAGGAATGAAATGGACATCTTCTGATTTGATTATTGTTTTTAGCCCTTTGTTTATACTCCTGTGGAACTGTGGTCTTTAATACGTTTTATGTGTTGAATTAAGTCTGTGATCACACAGTGGATGAAAATGTTTTTGTAAAAATTAAAGAAAAAAAGGAAAGGAAGGAAGGAGGGGGATTGAGGGAGGTAGGGAAAAATGGT